GGAATAATTATCTAGTTGTGGTAAATGTTGTTAGATTATTCATGTCTGTTTCTTATTGTAAATTAAGACTATTTCCTGTTTCAGTGTTGCTTAACAGGCCTACTATGGTCATTTAGATTCTATCCCTAATAAAACTTGCAGCTTATCTTGTCCAATTTTGACTTCCACTCATAAGTTCATTTTAGTTCAAGAGCTACTTGAAAATGAATGAAACACATAATCTAAAAAAAGCAAGAAGCTGGCTAACCACATTTGTACGAAGAAAAGTGGACCATCTGTGCACCATGATTTTATACTTTTGAATGTATTTCAGTTATTTTGGGAAAGATGGCACAATTAGACTCTGCTAAATGTTGCTACACTGCTTTCTAGTGTATATGTGAAATTAGTTTAGGCATCAGAGTGAGGTGTTAATTTAAAATATGTATGTTTCACAAAAAATGAGTAGCCGGACTTAAAGAAATTGAATTAAGCCATTTCACTGGTGCAAGTGAGCAGATTACTATCCAGAATTGTGGGGATAAAAGTAATATTTAAGTATTGTTCAGTCAATCAAAATATTTATGAACTCCTTTGAGGAAGGAGGAAAAAGGATGAATAGAAAAACATACATCAGATTTTCTGTGGGACTACAGGTAAGTTTCCTGCCATATGCTGTACCTTTAAAATGCCTAAAGAGATAAAATGTATGCTTCCTTTTCTACAGTTCCCCAGTATTTTTTTTTAATATCTGAAGGGCCGCTAACATTTTTTTGGTCAGACACACAGTCTAACTTTTGGATTATAATAGGGCAGCCTTTTTGCCTTAAATGCCTTCAAAAGTGTTTTGCTTTTTTATTACTATTCTGTTTTATGCTGAGTTGAGAATGGATGATGAGTCTTGAGTTCATGAGACAGTAATCACATTATTATTTAAGGGCCCTGCAAGTTTTTCCAGCTGCTCTTTCTTTTGACTGGAAGAAATAATAGTAGATTGCCATAAAGAGAAAGTAACGTATTAGCATATTGCTTCATAGTAGTAGATTTAATAAATTATGTTTTGGATGGCTTTTGTGAAATGAATTCTTCCTTTATCATGAATGAGAATCTTAAGATTCATTGACTTAGAATTCATTCAGTCCAACTTCCTATCTGATCGGGGTCATTCTATACATCCAAGATAAAGGTGGCTGTTTTAAAGCAGATATTTTTGACCCCATGTTATCTGCAGGCACTGTAACAGGGGATGTGGTGACGAGAGCAAATAAGATAGACATGGATTCCACTGCATGTCCCCTAACAACCTTGGTTGAGTGCTAAAGTTGTCATTTGGTCTATATGTAGCAGGTAAGGGAAGAATTAATATTGACATTGTGAGCTTCTAATCAGACATTGGGTATCTCTTTAATTTGGCTAGATCTTTAAATTTCTTTCATCAGTGTTTTTGTAATTTATTACTTATAGATCTTATATATCTTATTAAGTTTATACTAAATTATTTCATCTTTTGTTAAATGGTGCTGCTTTTTTTAAAACTTCAGTTCAATTATGTAGGAAGAAGTCGACATTTGTTTACCTTGTATCCTGGCCTTCCCATACTTATTAGTTGAGGAAGTTGTTTTTTCATTTTGTAGATTCTTTGGGGTTTCTACATAGATAATTATGTAATCATGAATAGAGACTGTTTCATTCTTCGCTTATGATCTCTGCTTTTTATTGGTGTTGGAATCAGAGGTGGGTGAGAGGGCATCCTTGTGTTCTTCCAAATTCTTAAGGGAAAGTGCAGTTTCATAATTAAAGTATATTGGCAACTGTAAGGTTTTAGATACTCTTAATCAAGTTGAGAAGTTTCATCAATCTGGAAGTTGCTGAGAGTTTTATTTTGATCATGAATGAGTGTTAGTTTTATGCCAAATGCATTTTGTGTGTGTAACGGCCTTGATCATGATTTTCTTTAGCTTATTTTGATATGTTTTAATGATTAATTTTGAATGTTATCAGTCTTACCTTCTTTTACATATTCGCTGGAATATATTTTATGGGGCGCCAGAGGGTGACACAGAATCGGCAGGCTTCAGGCTCTGAGGTTGTCAGCACAGGAGCCTGATGCCAGGCTTAACTCAGAACTGTGAGGTTGTGACCCTGGAGCTGAAGTTGGACTCGCCCTGGAGCCATCAAGTGCTCTAAAATATTTTAAAGTGTTGGCTTTGCATTCTCAATTTTGTATTTATTGTGCAAGTGTTTTTAAAATTTAGTAAACAGCCTCTACGTGGTTCAAAGAAAATGGAAATGTTCAACCAAACAAAAGTAGCATTGAGCAAACTTCTAAAAAGTATTCTTAGGCATGGAGTAAGGGTTTTTATGCTTGCTCAACCAGAGTGCTGACAATTCTGAGGAACATGAAATTCTGGGCTGTGTTTTTGAGGAGATCACAAAATGCCCAGTTAAACTAATAGTTTTCTTGTTAGCCCTATGTGGGGCTTACATTTTCTTGGGCTAAAGAAAACCTCTTAAAAATGGTTATCTTATATTTTAGATTATAGCCATTATTCAAATTACCAACATGCTGATTTATTTATTTATTAAAAATTTTTTTAAAATGTTTTTATTTTTTTGAGAGAGAGGGAGAGAAGGCACAGGCATTAGTGGGGGGAGGACAGAGGAGAGGAAAGGGCTGAAATCCAAAGCAGGCTCAGGTTGATCTATCGCTAGAGCCTGATACAGGGTTTGAGCACAGACTGTGAGATCATGATCAGAGCCGGGGAATCAGCTGCTTAGCTCACTATAGACCACCCAAATGTACATGCCCCTGATTTAGAGTTAATGGCCAGGGTAGCTATTTATCACTTACAGAAGAAATTTTTCTTTTCTTTTTTTTTTTTTTTTGAGAGGCTGCTGCAGTGCGTTAGTAGGGTAAAGGGGGCAGAGGCTGAGAGTCTCAAAGCAGGCTCCCTTCTCCATGGAGCCCAGCATAAAGAACCAGAATCCCACCACACCCGGTCATGACCCTAAGCTGACTGAAATTGAGAGCCGGACCTCATGGGTGGAGCCACACCCAGATGCCCCAAGAAGAATGTCTTGGGAGGAAGGCGTGGCAGATGGTATTTAAATACATGGCAATGAGAGATACTGCTTAGAGAGATGTGTGTGGCAAGGAGTCATAAGTTCAGAACTTGAACTTGGGGAATTTCCAGCATTTAGATGTTAAGTTGAGGAGTGTCAACTTGGGCTTGAAGAAGGATTGGCCACAGAAAGAATATCTGGAATGTGTAGCGTCTTGGTAATCAAAGATTCTTGGGGCAGCCTGGAAGGGCAAAGACGTGGCCTCTAACACATACTGTTTTCAGAAACATTTACTTGCAAAATGAAAAATCTTTAGAGGACAGAAAAATGTGCTTGAAGGATTTAACATTTAAAAGGAAGGATATTCACATGTCCAACAGAATGAAATGATGGCTAGCTAATTACACTATCCTAGAATAGTTACTCTTTATTTTAAAGTTACTGGGAATTTTGAGTTTCGATGAAGATGGAAGTAATTATTAAAGTGTAACTGGAAGCTGAGAGTAAATCTTTTTTTTTTTTTTCTTTTTTTTTTTTTTTGGCCAAGAATAATGGTGTTAGTGTCACCTAAAGGCAAAATGAGATATTGCAGCCATATTTATGTGGGGCAGAGAACAGAATAACTTAATTGGAAGGAGAAAAAGAACAATTCTGGGTAATTTTAAGGCATGCATCAGCAGACTTAGAGAGTCCTGTGTTCTTTAGCCCCAGTTTACTTGTTCTACCCCTCTATCACATTACCCCTTTGGTCACTGAGCAGATTAATATACCATTCTCTTTTGTCTTTTACATTTCAGCTCAGATATTTCCCTGAGTTCTTTCTACCACCTTACTTAAAGTTGTCCCTATGCTTTTTGTAGCTAGTTATTGTTACAATAACATATTTTATCTTCTTCATAGCCTTTAGAGTGATTTGGAATTACATTTGCTTACTTGCTTGATTTCTTACTAGATGTAAGCTCCAGGAGAGCAGGCAACTTGTCTGCCTTAGTCACTCCTATAACCCTAATGCTGAGTACTGTGTTTGTTATGTAGCACACAGGTTCAGTTAAATTAGCAGTGTGAATATTTGAACTTCTGGAAGTGATAGACATTGTTGAGTTTCTGTGGTGTACAGATCTATCCAGAAAGCAGAATTACGCTGTATTTACACTGTCACATGAATGAAATGTGAAAGCCTTGGCCTTTTCCCCACCCCTTGTGCTGATAAGTGGTAGTGTGTCTGGAAAAGAAAAGATACATGGTTTAGTGTATTGAATTCTTTTTTTTTTTTTAATTTTTCTTTATTTTTGGGAGAGCGCAAGTGGGGGAGGGGCAGAGAGAGGGGGACCAAGGATCTGAAGTGGGCTCTGCACTGGCAGGCTGATAGCAGCAAGCCGAGCCCATACAGGCTTGATACCACAATTGTGAAATCATGACCTGAGCTGAAGTCAGATGTTCAACTGACTGAGCCACCCAGGTGCCCCTGGGTGTTGAATTCTTATTAATTAGTAAACTTACGTGACACAAAGATATTTTAAGGTACAATACTTTTAGGAGATACGTTTTTGTAAACATTTGGATTTAATTATAAAGTAATTTCAGTGACTTTGTGTATGAATTTGGTTTCTAGTATCATGCTTAATTATTTCCTCTATTAAAAAAGAACAAAAATAGTAGTTCTAGGAGAAATGAATCAAGCAGTGGTAAATCTGTTTAGTTGAGATATGGGCGGGTTTGTGTTGTTTTTCAGGGCACAATATGGTTCTTTTAGTCTGGGAATTCAGGGTGAAGGGAGTACATTTGCATTATGTGGCCCAGTCCAAGAAGGTAGCCTCCCTAGTTTTGAGATAATTATCTAGCCAACAGAATTCTTTTTCATGTGAACCATTTTTAAAGGGTGAGTATTGATCATGTTCTTATTCATGCTGTTTTTTTTTTTTTGTTTGTTTTGTTTTTTTGTTTTTAAATCTCTGTAGTTTTGACCAGGTGGATGTGGGAAGAGAAGTTTGTAGAATTGAAATGGAGGTCAGAGCTTCATTACAGAAGGTTAGTGGGTCATCAGATTCTGTGGCTACACTGAACAGTGAAGAATTTGTTTTGGTTTCTCAGCATGCAGATGATACGTCTACAAAAGATGATGAAAAACCTGAACTGAAGGTATTTCTTTCTTTCTTGCTTTTGTTTATTTACAGATGATACTATTTTAAATTATTATTTTTTTAATGAGGTGAGACTGATCTTGAGAGATGTGTAAAATACGAAGGTTTTTCTCAAATACTGACCTTGAATAACGTCAGTCTTTGATTTATGCAGAAGCTAATTATTTGGTTTGTGTATTTTTAAAGTTTTTTGCTTTTGGTTCTTTATTTTTTAATTCGTAATTTTAGGAAGAAGGAATAGAAGGGAAAATAGAAAGAAAAGGATAATTGGGGAATTTGCCTTAAATTTATATAAGACTTAACCATTATCTGGATATTTTTGTCTCTCTTGCTGCTGGATTTTTAAAGTTAATTACATAAATAATTATGTTTTATTTGTACTTAAGAAACAACTGTATGGTTTTTATGTTTTAAATCAGCTGGTAGCATTCTAGTATGTGATTGAATAGGTGGCTTGTCTGAATTAAAAAAAAAATTAATGTTTATTTTTGAGAGAGAGTGAGAGTGGGGGAGGGGACAGCGAGAGAGGGAGACAGGATCTGAAGCTCGGGGCTGACAGGAGGGAGCCCGATGAGGGGTTTGAGATCGTGACCTGAGCTGAAGTTGGATGCTTAACTGACTGAGCGACCCAAGTGCCCCTTGCCTGAATATTTTTAAAGTATATGTCTTACATTTTTCGCAATTGAGTTTTTATTTGAATATGATCCATTTTCAAATTTTTGTTCTTTCCTAACTCAAAGAAAAAGAATCAAACAAACCCATATACATGCATGAGAATTGCATAAACACCCTCTAGAAACAGGAGTAGAGAAATTAGTCTGATATGCTACATATTGTTTGACTTTTATTTAGTATTAACTATGGCATCGAAAGTATATATGAATCTAATAAAATTTTATAGAAATTATAGTATTAAATACCCATTTTACATTATGTTGAGTATATATAGTTTTATAAGTGTATTAGAATAGTGGTTTTATTTAAATTTAAGTAATAGGTATTTAAATAAATGGCTTTAAATGTATTTAAATATTTGCATTGAAAAATAAGTATCTGCATTTTAGTTAGTGTGTTTAATTTAAGACCTTTATTAGGCTTTTGATCTCACCTGCTTTTAAGAGAAGGATGAGTCAACTTAAATGTAAAAAAATTACCAAGCAAGCAAAATTCGTAAAGAAATCACAAATACGTTTATGCTATGATAACAAGAAGTACGGCCTTTTGAATAACAGTCACAGTAGACAGTGTCCACTTAAACTTACCTGTTTTTCCCTTTAAAACACATAAATTTAAGATTACCTGGTTTTTAGAATGTGTTCTTAAGGAAAAGAAGAAAAAGAAAGAAAAATCTCTGTAAATTAGATCTTAGATCAGATACAGTTAGGTACAAGTGTATAAATTCTTAGTATTCAGTAACTTAGATTTAAATTTAAAATTTAGATTGTTTTAATTTCTTCTAGAAACAAAATATTAGAAATAGAAATAAAAGAAACCTTGAAAAGTCCAGAACCATAATATGATTGAAACAGAATCATCTTGCTTTGTCTATAGATTGTTTCTAATGGTGATGAACAATTGGAAAAAGCCATGGAAGAGATTCTGAGAGATTCTGAGAAAGGGCAAAGCAGTCCTCTTGCTGATTGTCAGAGTTCCAGTGAGAGTTCAGACCATTCATTTGGAGATGTTTCAGCCAGCCAAACAAATAAGCCATCTCTTCAGTTAATTTTGGATCCATCGAATACAGGTACTGCATTGAACTTTTAGACATCATAAAAGAAATGGGATAAAGTGATCCTGAAAATTTTAAGATGAAAATTAAAAAAAAACCCTGTTAGCTTTGTTTTCTAAGATCAGGGCCACCAAGTTTTTGGTTCTGCTTAAGAGTTCCCACTTTGGTTCTTAATGGTTTTTTTTTGTTTCTTTACCTGTAAAATCAATGTCAATGTTATTTGAGAACAGGCACTATGTCTGAGTCTTCATTTTACTCCTAGTACTTGGCACATAGTAGGCACTCAGTAAATACTTGGGTATCAGGAAATAGTGTAATGGGCACAGTGTTTCATATAATGTGCCTTTTTACTCAGTTTGGTTATTTAAAATTATCATTTGTGAAAATTCTAAGTAAAATAGCATATCAATTACATCAGTGTATTTGATAGGTGTATTGGGGTGCATGTGCTTCTTTGAATCAGCATTTTGTATCCTTTGGATAAATACCTAGTAGTGCAATTAAGCAATAGCCAAATTATGGAAGCACCCCAAATGCCCATCGAGTGATGAGTGGATAAAGAAGATGTGGTGTATATACATAATGGAATACTATTAGGTGATGTAAAAGAATGAAATCTTGCCATTTGCAACAACATGGATGGAACTAGAGTATATTATGGTAAGTGAAATACGTCAGAGAAAGATAAGTATCATATGATTTTACTCGTGGAATTTGAGAGACACAATACGTGAACATAGGGAAAGGGAAGGAAAAATAAGATAAAAACAGAGACAGAGGCAAACATAAGAGACTCTTAAATACAGAGAACAAAATGAGGGTTGCTGTGAAGGAAGTGAGTACGGGGATGAGTGAATGGGTGAGGGGCATGAAGGAGGGCACTTTTTGGGATGAGCACTGGGTGTCATGTGTAAGAGATGAATCACAGAGTTCTACCCCTGGAGCCAAGACTATACTGTATGTTAACTAACTTGAATTTAAATAAAAAAAAAATACACCTTGATAAAAATATAAATGCATCCATGATTGAGTAGGATTTGTAGTAGAAATATCAGCTTATAATGCAAAATGGTTTTGGGTACAAGAAAAGCCGAACAAAAACCAAGGCCACTTTCTATATAGCTGGTTTAAATACTAGAGGCTCTGATTGTGGTTTTTTTGTAAACTTCTCAGCTTTTATCATCTCTTTTGTCACCTTTCTCTCCAACTGGCTTCCTTTATGGTCATAAAGTAGTTAGCAGAAATTGGTAAGTAAGGCCAGGCAATTTGTTGATGGCTGGTGGCAGAGACAAAGGCTCTCTTCTTTACCTATTGAACAAAAGTTGTGAGTTTCACTCAGTTGAACCAGTTTATAGTAGTTAGGGAATCACATGAACTAATAGGCCTTGGTTACATTCAAATCCCTCAATAAGTCACACTGACAGTCAAGATGAGATTATCTTGATTGGCTTAGAACCAGTGATCCATTTCTGAATGTTGGTGTGGTGTAAGTATAGATACAGGCCAGAGTGGTACACAGTGTGGCTATGATGGCCCTAAATTACATTGTACACAAAATTTATTCCTAGTGAATCAAATATTGAAATGTGAAAAATAAACCTATAAGAAGAAAATATTGGAGACTATTTTGTGATTGGGTAGGAAAAGCCATGTCATAAAATACAGTTTTATTTTAATACACAAAAACCTAAATCTTCTGAAAGAGAATGGTACCATAATAAATGTGTTTTTTTTTTTTTGCTTTGACCTGCATTAACTAAATTGTTAGGTAACACATTTTAACACTAAAAAAGAAAGATACTCATATATCATAATCATGGGGTTTCCTCCAAATGGACCATTAATGTTAGGCACCCCAAATTGCAAGTTTTTGTGTTTTTTTTTTTTTAACCTGTCCCACTGGTACATCCTCAACCATTTTATATAATACATACAGCTTAATGACAGGGTAGGAGAAGATATTTATAATGTGTTGGGGGTCTTTAATAAAACCCTCTGATTTGGTGACTCACTATGAATACTTCTAGGTCTCAACATATAGTCATACAGCTAGAAGTAAGAACAAGAGAATTTAAGGTAAACATTTATGTATTTTAATTAAAAATGTAGGATTGGAAATAAACCTTAAAAAGCATTAATTTTTCTTGATGAAGGGAACATGAAAGATGATATTACTTACTATGCTTTGCTTTGCTTTACCTTTTGAATTTCTTGAGTCTTTCTACCCCTTCCAAAAAAATTAAAGCATACTGATATCACATTTATATAATTATTTTTTGGTTAATATATTAATCAAAAGGAAGGAATACCTTTTATCTGCTAATGTAGCTCTGATGGGTTGTTGGAATTTTAATTATTCTTTTTTTTTTTTTTTCAACGTTTATTTATTTTTGGGACAGAGAGAGACAGAGCATGAACGGGGGAGGGGCAGAGAGAGGGAGACACAGAATCGGAAACAGGCTCCAGGCTCTGAGCCATCAGCCCAGAGCCTGACGCGGGGCTCGAACTCCCGGACCGCGAGATCGTGACCTGGCTGAAGTCGGACGCCTAACCGACTGCGCCACCCAGGCGCCCCGTAATTTTAATTATTCTTTACAGTGGCTTATGATTCTTAGTTCTGAGTATATTTGATAGGGACCATGTATTGTGTGCTCTTTTTGTGTTCTCAACACCCCTTACACTAAATACATTTTTAGAAAGATCTCAGTGGATAAGAAGAAATTTCCTTTGCTTTACAAGTAGGTTTTTAGTATTCTTTTCTAGTTACATATTTTTAGTTTTATTTTCAATAAAGAGACATGTTATGCTCTGAATGTTCTTCTCCTCAGAATCCATGTTGAAATTCTAACCCTCAAAGCGATGATATTAGGAGGTAGGAAGTGATTAGGGTCATGAGAGTGGAACCCTCATGATTGGGCTTAGTGCCCTTATGAAAGAGACCCCAGAAAGCTAGCTTGTCCCTTCCACCTCTGAGGACACAGTGAAAAGATGCTGTCTGTGACCCAGAAAGTGGGCTCCCACCAGATGCCAAGTCTGCCAGTACCTTGATCCTGGTCCTCCTGGCATTTAGAACTGTGAGAAGTAAATGTCTACTGTTTATAAACCACCCAGTCTGTGGTATTTTGTTATAGCAGCCTGAACAGACTAAGATGAGACATTTCAGCTGCCTTTTCCTAGCTGCAGTCAACACAGTTTTTGCTTACAGAATTACTGTGGTTGGTTTAAAATGACACATAACTTCAGTGGCAAGGAACTGTATCTAGAAAGTATCTAGATTTAAATGGCCTAGAGTGAATATTAAAGGTATATTGTTTTTCAGTTATAAAACCAGATAGATGAAAGCTTTTGTTTCAATATCATGATAACTTGTTGGTTTTTGTCATGTGATGATCTTATATACTGGCTGCTTGGATGCAAATCTAATAGGAAATTTTTGCTAGTTAAAATTTTTTTTAATGTTTTATTTTTGAGAGAGGGGGAGAGAGAGCGCGAGCATGAGTGGGGGAGGGGCAGAGAGAGAGGGAGACAAAGAATCTGAAGCAGGCTCCAGGTTCTGAGCTCTCGGCACAGAGCCTGATGTGGGGCTGAACCCACGAACGGTGTGATCATGATCTGTGCGAAGTTGGCTGCTTAAACCAACTGACCACCCAGGTGCCCCAACAGGTCTAGGTTTTAATGATATACCACTTCTTGTATACTGTGAAGATCTTCCATTTCTTTTCTTACAGACTTTATGCTTTTGTTGTCATTCATTTTGCTTGCACATGTTATAAATTCTACAAAATGCTAATTTTTACACCCCCCCTCCTTTTTTTTTTTTTTTTTTTTTAACACAAGGGAGGCTTACTGAATACATCTCAAGGGAGCAGCAGGCAGGACAGTGAAGGGGAGAGTATCTAATTTTTACTTTGAATAATCTGTTATATTTTAAAGAAGTTAAAAAGCAAAGAAGTCTTGCCCTCATGTTTTTAACTTCTGAGGCTCTTCAGTTTTCCTCTAGTATCATTATTCTTTATCCCAAGGAACTTCTTTAATATTTTTTTCTTTTGTAATTTAGAATCTGCTGTTATAGCCACCCAGGGAATATTTCATTTCAGATCTTGCATTTTTTAGCTTTAGAATTCCTTTTGGTCTTTTGTCTTTCATTTTTCTGTCTATTTTGTTAGGTATTTTTCTTTACATCCTGTATCATATTTATAATAGTTATTTAAAGGCCTTGTCTGCTTATTTTGTCTTTTTTTTGGATCAATTTCTGTACTGTTTTTCTCTACTTGGGGTTTACACAGGTATATGAATCTGAATTATACAGATTAGTACAATATTTTTTTCAGAAAGGTTTTTGTCCCTTTTTTTGTTTTTTGGGGTTTTTTTGGTATGACTCCAACTATATGTAAGTTAGACCATATGAACTACTTTATCTGTCATGTTCATCAGTTACTGGAATATGATTTAATCATAGGATCTTGCAAATAATTGTTTCATGAGTGCTTGCTAAATTAACAAAAAATTCACAGAATAATAAGTCTAGTAAACATACTAGCATCCAGCTTTAACATGTGTTTGTGTTTTTTTTATTTATCCCTTTTGAAATATAGCACGTTGAACTGATTCAAAAGAGGGAAAAACATGTTTCAGTGATTGAAGAACATGGTAGATGAAATAAATCATTTTGAATGGCTTTAGTTTCTCAGTAGAAGAAAAGTAGGCAATGAGGTTGCATGTTTCATTATGATATTTGGGAGCTGGAGTGGGGAGGTTGGGAATGGCTTTTGTGAATTATTTATTAAAGTCCTATAGGTGGAATTGTGGTAATGAGGATTTGAGCATGGTGCAGAGATCTAGTTTGGGTGAGACAGGCATGCTTAATTTTGTGTAAAATGGATATGGGTAATGGGAAAAAGTAGAGACTAGCTGAATATGGGTTTTAGGTGTGGATGGAAAGAGTAGCAATTTAATAGTTTAAGAGGTTTAAGAGGTTTAAGAGGGAGTTTAATAGTGTCTGATACATGCAGACGGATACTCTGACCACAGTTGGGCCTTTGCTGCAAGCTGTGCTTAGAATTAAAGAGAACGACTTTATCTTATTTACTTTTTTAAGAAACTCATCAATGGGGAGGGGAGAATTGAGGGAGGCAATCATAGGATCATTATTTTGATGAAGCAGTTTCCATTGGAATACTTGCATAGTTCATAGAAGCCAGCAAGCTAGGAAGGGTTAAACATGGGGCTTGCTTTGTTATTGGTATGAGATGTGTCCTCATAATATTGTTTACCTTTGCTTTGGAAGTTAGGCTTCTTAATAAATTGGGTGCCATGCAGGACCATTACAGCCAAGACAAACTTATAACTGATTTTAGCTTTATTTAATCCTCATTAATTTTAGGCTACTTCACACTGCCTTTAGTGTAGTTTTTTTTTTTTGCTTTCTTGTTCTATATCATTTGAACTCTGCTTTTGATTTTTTAAAATAAAAATTTTAAATTTCTTTCTTTTTCTCTAAAAAAAGTTGTAGCTAAGTAAGTTAATACTTTGAGAGACTTGAAAGTACAAAAATTCCATAACTCTGATTTCAGATGTAGGATAAACATCAAAAGAAGTGAAAACACAGACCTAAATTTTGTTTGCAGTTTTTCGTTTGTTTTTGGGCAGTAGGTGAAATTATACTGTGAAGTTTTTCATTAACCTTTTGAGTGTGTGTGTGTGTGTGTGTGTGTGTGTGTGTGTGTGTGTGTGTTTTCTTCAGAAATTTCTACACCCAGACCATCTTCTCTAAGTGGATTACCTGAAGAAGATAGTGTTTTATTTAACAAACTGACCTACTTGGGATGTATGAAGGTTTCTTCCCCACGTAATGAAGTGGAAGCTTTACGGGCAATGGCAACTATGAAATCTTCGAGTCAGCACCCCTTTCCTGTTACTCTTTATGTGCCAAATGTTCCAGAAGGTTCTGTGAGGTAAGCTCTAGTCTTTTTTAAATTCCCCTAGACATGCATGAAATTTTTTGTGTGGTAGTGATGATGTTAACGTCATAAATCAGGCCTAGGCCTTACTGTGAATTTACTTTTACTCTGCAGACATGAAAAGTAAATATGTTTAGGATTACACCATGTTGCTTATTTACAAGAGGCTTTTACAAAATTATGCTTAGAGTATTATGAATGGAAATAGAACTTTAAAAATACCTATAATTTGTGTTTCTTTATTCAGAAGGAATTTAAAACCTGCCTTCATCTTGTCATGTAACTTTTGAACTCTGGTTCAAAAATCAGAGTTTTTGGTGAAGCTGCATATCTTACACTTTTTACATCAGACTAGGAAGAAGCAAAATGGCTTTTTCTCTTATGCTTAAGTAGGAATAAGAATTGAATGTAAATCAGATAATGTTGTTCTACACTCAGTGGCCTCCAGTCACACTTGTGATTATATTCAAAATCCTTACCATGTCTGGCCACTGATAAACTACTGCTTTGACCTGGTTTTTTACGTCTCTCATCTCTCCTTCCCTCCTTTCTCTTGCTTTCTCACTATGTTCACTCACTACATTCTGGTCATGGTAGCTTTTTTGTTCTTTCTCAAACACTGTCATGATTCCTACCTCAGGACCTTTGCATATTGTCTTTCCTTTGCCTAAACAATCTTTTCTTGGTTTCCCAGTGGCTTTTTTTTTTTAAACTTCTTTACAGTTTCATCTCAAACATCTTATCAAAAGAAGCCGCCTTTGATTGGATTATGTAACTATTCGTCTTTTCCCCCTTATTGGACCTTTTTTTTTTTTTTTTTTTTTTTTTTTTTTTTTTTTTTTTTTTTTTTTTTTTTTTTTTTTTTCCCTTCATAGCACTTTCTCTGACTTGGTATTGTACATACATTTGTTTCTTGGTTTATCATCTAACTTCCTCACTGGAATATAAGGTCCATACAAGGAGATTACTTGTATTTTTCTCTGCTTTAACTTTGGTGTCTTGAGCAGTATCTGGTTCATAGCAGGTTTTCAGGAAATGTTTGCTGAATAAACAAATAAAATGAAAGTCTTAGGAATTAGGTTGAGTGTATCATGAACCTGTAATATTCTCAGAAATCCAGTTTAATCTTTTTTCAAACTCTTCCTGAAATACCTCATTCTTTAAGGTTTAGAATGTGAAAAAGTGAAGGGGCGCCTGGGTGGTTCAGTTGGTTGAGTGTCTGACTTCGGCTCAGGTCATGATCTCACGGTCCGTGAGTTCGAGCCCCACGTCGGGCTCTGTGCTGTCAGTTCAGAGCCTGGAGCTTGCTTCGGATTCTGTGTCTCCCTCTCTCTCCCCCTCCCCCACTCACACTCTGTCAATCTCTGCCTGTCAAAAATGAATAAATGTTAAAAAAAAAAAAAGAAATACGCAAATGGTTGCAATTAACAACAAAAACAAATTTTTAGAAGTCAGTATTATAATTTGGACATTAGCTTTAAGACATACACTATGCAGAACAAACAGAAAATTGAATCATTAAGGAAATGAAAAGGAAAAGAGGGGCGCCTGGGGGCTCAGTTGATCAAGCGTCCAACTCTTGGTTTCAGCTCAGGTCAGGATCGCGCGGGTTCGTGAGTTTGAGTCCTGCACTGGGCTCTGCACTGACAGTGCAGAGCCTGCTTGGGATTCTCTCCCTCTCTCTCTGCCTCTCCCCCACTCATGCTCTGTCTCTCTCTATCCAAAAATGAATGAACGTTAAACAAAAAAATTAAATGCATAGGGGCACTTGTACCCCAATGTTTATAGCAGCACTCTCAACAATAGCCAAATTATGGAAAGAGCCTAAATGTCCATCAGCTGATGAATGGATAAAGAAATTGTGGTTTATATACACAATGGAATACTATGTAGCAATGAGAAAGAATGAAATGTGGCCTTTTGTAGCAACGTGGATGGAACTGGAGAGTGTTATGCTAAGTGAAATAAGTCATACAGAGAAAATAGATACCAGATGTTTTCACTCTTATGTGGACTTCCTAATGAAGACCCATGGGGGAGGGGAAGAAAAAAAGAGCCAAACCATAACAGACTCTTAAAAACTGAGAATAAACTGAGGGTTGATGGGGCAAAGGGTTAGGGGTAATGGGTGATGGGCATTGAGGAGGGCACCTGTTGGGATGAGCACTGGGTGTTGTATGGAAACCAGTTTGACAGTAAATTTCATATCAAAATAAATAAATAAATAAATAAATAAATAAATAAATAAATAAATAAAAGAAAAAATAAATAAAAAATAAAAATTATTTCTTTATTTTCTGTTGTTTTAATTAAATGATCCCTTTAAACTGGGACATGTTCACAGAAGAAAACAGATCAAAGAGAAATAAAATTCAGGTAGAACAAAAAAAATTAAAATAATAAAAAAAAGAATGAAAAAGTGTTAGCTTAGTTCTAAGTACTAAAATAATAGCAATATAAATTTATAATGTTTGGTAAAAATGCTTTGAATTTTTCAGGAAAGGGTTTTGTAGATATATTATTTGTATGATATATCTTAGAAAATGGCAGACTGCCTTTTAAAGTCATATTTTTATTTTTCAAAGTGCCAAACACACCTTGACAAAAGACTTAGTGTTTTGACTTGCCTCTCTCTTCCTATTGGGTACTCCTTGGTTTCACAATTGGGGAGATTTTGATGTGGTCTTGAGATTTTAGATCAATCTAGGGCTAAGGGTTTATATAGGGAAAGTCAGAATTATTTGCTTCTAAATCCCACAAACTGCTTTTACTTTCTTAAATTCTTTTATTAAGTTCAACTTTGTAACCACTCTGACCTTTTATGCTTTGGGGTAAGAGGGGTCTTGGTCTAGCAATGACGTAGGTGTTGGATAAACTTACTGTTGTAAATAGAAACTTTGTAGGTCTGGTCTGTGCTATTGTGTAGTAGCATTCTTTTTGACATAGAAACCATTTGGGGATGGCTAGAAAAGGCTAGCATTTGGGGATGAGTGACGGATTTGATCAGGCAGTATATATTGGCTTTGGGAGTAAATGAGTTGGATCACAGAAAATATAGAAATGAGGTAATTGTCAAAAAAAGGTGAGGAATTTGTGTATGTGCGTGTATATACATAGATACATATAGCAAAATATGGTATTTGTTTTAACCAGTTTATTTTATTTAAAATATTTTATTTAAATTATTATTATATTTTATAACCAGGTTATTTTTATGATTTTAAGATGATTATGTTCATGTTATTAGTATAGTAAAACTGCTTGCCTTTGCTTTGTTCTTTGCTATTTAATATGTTATCTTATTTTTCATCACTGTTCTGTAGAATTATAGACCAATCCAGCAATGTGGAGATAGCTTCTTTTCCAATCTACAAGGTGTTATTCTGTGCACGTGGACATGATGGGACAACAGAGAGCAATTGTGTTGCATTTACAGAGAGTTCCCATGGTTCAGAAGAATTTCAGATACATGTTTTCTCCTGTGAAATTAAAGAGGCAGTAAGTATAATATATTGTAGCAATTTGCTATCAAGATGAATTAGGGTAATATTTTTGAACCCTACTCTCACTGTCCTATAAGTTAGTATGTATCACCATATACTCTATTATGTAAATTTGGAGTAGATTTCTAAAGAGAACATTAGTATTTGTAATGGCATAGGGGCGCCTGGGTGGCTCTGTTGGTTGAGCATCCGACTCTTGATTTGGGCTCAGGTCATGATCTCATGGTTCATCAGTTCGAGCCCCACATCAGGCTCCATGCTGACAGTGTGGAGCCTGCTTGGGACTGTCTCTCTCAACACCTCTTTGCTCCTCCCCTGCTCTCTCTCTATCTTAAAATAAGTAAACATTAAAAAAAAATTGTAATGGCTGAGAACTCAATACGGAAAGCTTAACCTGATAACTGTGTATTAAAGTGGTGTTGTATGTGGGACACACTCAATTTAACAGATGTAACAGAAAAATCCTGCTTGGTGAGCTCTCCTCCTACCCTACTATGGTACTAATTGCTCAGACCTAGAAGGGCCTCTTTTATTATTTTTCCCAAGTTGATTGGTCCATGTGACTTTCTAAACATGTTTCCTCTGCCGGGACTGATAGTTATATATTGGTTTCACTTAGATATTGGATTAAGGTTGTTTCCTAGATCTGTGTGGTTTTCACTGGTGATTATTTGTTATGTTCATTTACTCAGAGGATGGCTTTTGCTCTGTGGAACTGGCCTAATTAAAAATACAAATCTCGCATACAGCAGGAATATCAACCTGTAGTTCTTTGAAGATACTAGTTAACTTTCCTTTAGCAATTATTAACTGGTGGTTTATTCTGAGACTGGAGAAGTAGTTCAGAATCAAATGGTTGTCAAATACATGGAGAAATTGCCTTCTTTTCTGTATTTGTTGGATTCTCCCCAAATTAAAAATAGGTTGCACTTAAAAAAATTCCAGTACAGTTAACATACAGTGTTATATAAGTTTCAGGTGTAATTAGGTTGTACTTTTAGAACTTTACTGCTTACAACCATTTTAAAGGCATTGATAAATGGGTTTGGATGGGCAAATCTCAGCTGTGTTTGTTTTTGGAAATAAAAATTGTCAGCAGGAAATGCTAAAAGCAGCTACTCTATTTTCTGTTTGCCATGAAACATAAATAAACCATTGTATTAATGGGATTTCTGAGAGTTTATTTCTGACCACAACATGGCAGAGGTGTATTTCTGTGTGTTTGATACTAATCATGAGGAATATCTCAGTTCTCTTTTTAAATACATTTTATTTACACTAAAATGAACATGCATAGACACATAATTTAGATTGTAGCCATACAAGTTCTGTGCCAGAACCCATGGCCTGTATAAGAAATTCCAAGTTTGTTTTTTAAAAAGTATTTCTAGGGGCGCCTGGGTGGCGCAGTCGGTTAAGCGTCCGACTTCAGCCAGGTCACGATCTCGCGGTCCGTGAGTTCGAGCCCCGCGTCAGGCTCTGGGCTGATGGCTCGGAGCCTGGAGCCTGTTTCTGATTCTGTGTCTCCCTCTCTCTCTGCCCCTCCCCCGTTCATGCTCTGTCTCTCTCTGTCCCAAAAAAATAAATAAACGTTAAAAAAAAAAATTAAAAAAAAAAATAAAAAGTATTTCTGAACCTGTTTCATGCCCACATTTCTGTATTTATGTGTATACTGACTGCTTGGTCAAAGGTGTGATAGAGTGAGTGAGTACAGGTGTGCCTGGCACTTAGGAGGCAGGGAACATAAATATGTTGACAGAATATGAATGTGTTTGTGAAGGAAGGGGCCTATTTCTAACCTTACAACTCCACTAGAGGAGTGGTGGGGAAGCAGTGGGCAGAGTCCTGGCCTTTCATCCTGGCGGCATTTAACACACCTGTGTGATTTCTGGGTGATTGGCACTCAACAGCGAGGAAATGAACTTGGAAGACTTGGAGAACCTGTTGCTTGGAGAGGTGGAAACACTGCTGCAGAAGGAAATTGAAAGGGACCTGGCTTGCAAGCATTTTTCATAATTGTGACGGTATGAAACTCTTTTTGGATTGTGGCATCTTGTTTATGGGTGGGGGAACAGTGTGTCATTTTTGAGAGCTTTAACAGTGGATAAGCAGCGGACAAAGCTGTGGGGAATTCTCAACCCGACCATTTTGGATATGGTATTAAATAGTATTAATTGAGAGGGTATTTGGTACATTGCAGATTGTGGGAAAGTGATGTCCACGTATTATTTAATTTTTTTTTAAGAGTACATTTTTGCAAGTGTTCCATTATGAGACATTGGTGGTAAAATTCATTCTCTGAAGGAGAAATACATGACAGTTGTCATTAAACTTTATTATGAGAACTATTGCTAAATGAAAACTAACCCAGAATAAATGTGGAGGCTATGCAAGGAACTGTGCTAATAAGCCTTTTCTTGATACTCTAAAATCTCCATGATATAGATAGTATTTATTTTGACTAGTGGTCTTGTGCTCCTCTTTGCCTGGAACAGTTCTAGTTTATGTCTGTTGTCCAGGTATGTTATTAATAGCACTCCATCTTATTCTCAGAAGACTTCTGGTTTGATTAATGAATTGTAGGGTTACCGCTTATTTATCTCAAGGCTAAGAGAACAGACAACAGAGCTGGGTTTTAAATGGAAGTCTCTGACCCTGAAATACCCATATTATTTTCAATGACAACTTTCCTGTTACTTAAATATTGTAAAAAGCAAGTGTGGATTTTTCTTTTCATTATGCTTTATAAAGGTATCTGTTGCTCATATAGCTCACGTTCCAGCCACCTTTGAGTTTTACCCATGCCTTTTACAGAAGATGTCCAACATCTTCCTCTTTCCCTTCAAAAATAATTACCTATTTTAATGAATCTCAGGTCTTTAGTTGCATTTACTTATCTGGTTATCTGGTTCCCAGGTTTCGTGTTCTGTGGTGAAGGCACAACTTCAGCCCTTACTTTTTGGGACCTTGTTAATGGGCACAAACAGTTGGCAAAGATAGTTCAGGAAAAGTGACAGATATTCTTATTGGCTAAATATGTGCTGTGCAGCAGTGTCACTAACTTGCTTGTTTTCCATGGTTTGCAGAATCCTGGATGAGATCTGAAGTGGTTTGTCAGTTAAAGGCAAGAAGACGACATCTTCTCAAGCAGGAGTAGTGACATGGCTGCCACTACCAACTGTCCCTGTGATGCTCTTATTTCGCTGTAAAATCCCATAAGCAGCAGGCACCGATAGTGTTAGGGGGAATCCAGTGAAGGTCACAGCTCTGTTGGACCTGTGACATAAGGATTAGGTGTTCCCGCAGGAGGGGTAGGTTACATTTGACTCGATGACCCTGGATATTCGTCTGTACCACTCTGCTGGAGTGCATCTTGATAACCTGTGGCAAAAGAGTTGGGGAATCTGACCAGAGATATATTGATGCCACTGATTTTGTGTAGGGAAAATGATGTGCTATGTTTCTGCTTAAGAATTACAGACAAAACAAAATATCTGAAAACATAGTGGAAAAAAGCCAGGGAGGCACATATCCTTGTTGCATCTTTATGGATACATTGTATAAAACTTTAAAATATATTTTTAAAAGGCTTAGTTGATTCTCTTTAAGAATTTAGTATGTCATTCTCACAATTTTTCTCAAAGCAGATTTGATGTTTGTATGTTTTAAAATACTTAACACTATTACTAGCAATTCTCAGTGTTACATTTTAGAAGCATGGTTATTATCTGGCATTAAAGGCATTTTAGAGGTATTTCATGGTAAATACGAAGGGTATGATTGGGAAAATCTTCATTCTTTTTTTTTTTTTTT